TGACGTGACATGTTCGTATGAAACCTTCATACAAACAAAAGTAAGAGAAATTTAGGATAAGAATACGAACATGTTCTTGCATGAGGCCCAGTGGTCCCATTTTCTCCAGTGATCTTATCCAGGTATCGGCCAATCTCCAAAAATCAAGGAAACCAGTGCTGATAAATTGGCTGGTTGATTTATTGGTGCACCCCTAATACAATAGGTTGCMTTCATGCCCAGGCCTCCCTTGCAAAAGTAACCTGTGATTCTCAWTGAGATTTGCCTGGTTAAATAAAGCAAAGAAAACTCTAAAACATGCAGGATAGTGGCACCCGAGGAACAGTTAGGAGAAAAAAAGGACATAATTTGTATCACACAACTATGTCAGTAATAGTGGGTTTCTTTACTTCTGGCAAAGTATGAATCCAGGTTTTTACTTTAACTTACTTGAGTATCTTGAGAGGAATAGAGGTGTCCTTGATGGCTACAATGACTCCACCATGGTCCAGATACAGAATGTGATGCTCCTCTTCAAAAACCTTTACGAGACATTTATAACAGGTTAAATTTCCCTTTGGGATTAATTAAGTATTTGAATTGAACTGAACCGACAAACACTTTTAAGATTTGTTTTATTWAAAAAAAACTGGACGGACTTAAAACATGTCTTTATGTTTTATCTTTTCAGGATTCTCCTGAAAACAGACAGGGAGGAGAGTTCATAGTGTGAAGATATATCAAACAAGAGAACACGATGCACCTGTTTCCACGTCCTCCCGCAGTCTGAAGTGATGTACATTTCTTCCTTATACTCCACCAGCTTGGAGCCCAGGTTGCCTGTGGGGACGATTGAGAATCCAGAATCCATGAAAAAAACAAGAATAACAATCCCAGGAAAAAAAAACAGTCCAGAGAGAAAAAGACAAGACCAACTAATCACTGGAGWAAGATGAGCATTTCTCACTAAAACTCTTTTTAATGATTCCCTTTTGTTTTTAATACTGACCAAAAAGAAACAGCGGGCTTCACAGACATAGGAGTTTAAAAATGAGCAGTAGAAAAATGTAAAATAAGGATTTTCTGACTACAGCTATTCATGAAGATTTCAGTGGACAGTGCTTTGACTGTTACACGCTGTATCGAACGTCATTACTAATCCCAAATATCTGCATTTACAGTTTTTAATAAAACAGACAAAAATATCAAAAATGGATTTTTTCCCTCTCAATCCAGTCAAACACAATGTCCAAAAATCAACATAAGTTCCCAACAGGAAGTCAAAATACAAATCTTTAGTCTTCTTGTACACTTCTATTGAAATACTCTTAACATTTTGACCTACAATTTATATATTTTTAAAGCATTTTATTTAAGGCTGTAATGAGATACAAAAAAAAAAAAGAAAAAGAAAAAAAAAGCATCTCAGTAAAAACAGGTCCTTTTTCTTGTATTCATAGATATGCAGAAAAAGTTTACTGATAGTTTTTATCATCAGTTTTTTTATATTTCATTCTTATCTTTGGCTTCATTTTGTCAGCACAAACATAAGAGAAATTTTAAATAAATATGAAAAAATATGATTCAGGAATTTTTTGGGAGCTCGGGYGAGWGAGCTTTGTCATTTCTGTTTGCACAAAAACATAATGAAGGAAAGTTCTTCCCTGGTTAAAGAAAATGATTATCTTTGGAGGAACAGACATGAGTCATATGATCGACCCAAATCAGGCCTTAAAAACCCAAAGCATTCAGGCACATAATATAAAGACAACATGATTTGAGTGCTTCAGGTAAAGATAAAAGTTTCTAATTTGAGTTTTAAACTAGATATTTTAAATTKGATTATCTCATTGGAGCAAGGGATCAGGTCCAGTTTTTATCATCTACAGTTCTAAGGCGTGTGTCCCACTGGGCTGGAACTGTTGGCTCAAAGAAATAGATGCATAATGCAGAGCTGAAGATGGACTGAAAACCAACAGAATAAATGGACTGAGGCTAAAGCTTGGTTTATACTTCGAGTATAAACTTYGGGAAGATATGGGAAAGGTGACATCAGGCGGCTCGGACTAACTGGGAATCAGCGTGACATGATGAAGGAGCAGAAACTAACTGAGGAGGAATACATAATGTGACAAATGAAAACAAGTACTGAATAAATTAATACACAAGTATCAATAAAGCATAAATAAAACTAATAATATTAAAACACAAAAAGAATACCAATAAACAAAGAAAAAACAGATCCTGACACCCTCACAAAGTTGTCTCTAACTCATGAAAATTCATTTGAGTTAGATCTAAGATGCWCTTTATGATTGTGACTATTTTGAGAAAATGAAAAAAAAAAAACTGCAATACAGTGAACCCACGCAAAGTTGTGTTTCACAGTTTGTGGACTCTGTCTTTCAAGGATTTGTTCATGGAACCAAACCAAACCAGAAGTAGTTGATGGTAATCCCCGTGAAATCCCCATGATACAGTATCTTGGAAAGTGGAAATACAAAACATCTATTTTTTTTCTCTCATGCTTTTTCACCAGTTTTCAGGCTAAATTATGAGCATGATTTCCCCCCCTCTCAATTATAAAGAAGATTATTATTTACTAATTTCTTAGCATAAATATTATTGTAAATTCAATTCTATCAAAATTAATAAAAAAATAAATAAACTCTACAGTTCAGTACATGACACATGCTTTGCCCGGAGCGCAGCATTTCCACCTCCTAAAGGTTTTCTGTACAGTACTGTCTAGCTGCTAGCTCTTATGTGTTTTTGTATGGTTCTTTCTGCCTTATGATGCCACACCAAATGCACTATAAGTCTTTTCTGGACCGCATCCACTGTTCATATTTTTTCACGATTTGCAGGTATTTTAAGAACGTAACCCCCTCTGTATCGGGAACGTTCAAAATTACAGCAACACATGACGAGGCCCTGTGACTTTGAAAACCCTTACAAACGTTTCGAGACAGTTTGGAACTCTTACGCAAATGTTCTTAAATTTTTGCAACAGTTTATACACTGCTGTTTAGAAATCCAGTATAAGTATGACCATGCTTTTGTGTTGATATCATTACTATCTACATTCAGATGTGCCTGACATGTGTAATGGGATCCATGATTAGCTATAACATTAGACTTTATTTAATAAACATGTATTTTAATATATTTAGGACCTCAGTTTAGCTTGTTAGTTTGTCGCGCTAGTGCCGAGCTAATACATACAAGGTAATAGTGTCCATGCTAAAGCTAAGGCTAACAGGCTAAGCTGAGGTTCTTCTTCCATGAAGCAGCTCTATTGTCCTCCATCCATATTTTCAGTTACAGG